GGGTTCCAGACCCTAGCCAGCAGTCCCATACCTCCCCCTGCAGGGTTTTAAAGGCAACGTCTTTGAGCAGACTTCCACCCTAGACAAAGGCTCAAGGACACCTTGAGAGGAAAAGAGCAGCAATACACATCAAACACTGCCCCAAAAACCTTTCTCATGCGCATATCAGAAATGCCATGATATGCAGCAAAACAGCCAAAGTCCCGGAGTGCGGTTCCAGGCCTCAGCCAGCAGTCCCATCTCCTCCCCCCTTTCTTCATACCTATTCAATTTGTATGCTGAGCATATTATTCAAGAATCTGGACTCTGAACAAGAATGTGGATTCAAGATTGAAGGAAGACTCATCAATAATCTTTATTATACAGATGACTCAACCTTTCTTGCTTAAAGTGAGGAGGACTTAAAACACCTGTTGCAGAAGATCAAACACTGCAGCCTTCAATATGGATTACATATCAACATCAGGAAGACAAAAATTCTCACCACTGGACCAACAGGCAACATCATGATGAATGGAGAAAGGATTAAGACCGTGAACAACTTCATCTCTTTTGGATCCACTCAGTGCCAGCGGTCAAGAAATCAGGAGGCGTATTGCACTGGGAAAGTCTGCAGTCAGGGACCTTTCCAAATAATTGAGGTGCAATGATGTTATTAGTTTGAGGACCAAGGCATGTCTGATACAGACTATGTGTTTTTTTCAATCTCTTGCTATGCTGCTGAGAGCTAGACAATGCATAAGGATGACCAAAGAAATGATGCCTTTGAATTGTGGTGTTGCAGAAGAGTACTGAATATCTCATGAACTGCCAAAAGAATAAATAGATATGTCTTGGAGAAGATGCAGCCAGAGTGATTGTTGGAGGCAGAAATGATAAATCTGTGTCTCACATACTTTGGGCATGGTGCTAGGGGAGGTAGTCAGTGGAAAGGGACACCATGCTAGGGAAGGTAGAGGGATGGCAAAAAGGAGGAATGGTCTCAATCAGGTGGATTGACACAGTGACTGCAGAAATGGGCTGAGTGTATCAGAGATTGTGAGGTAGGCACAGGGCAGGATAGTATTTAGATCTGTTGCTCAGAGGGTCACGGCCTTCTCAGATCTTGCTTTGTCTCCTTAATTATCTTTAACTACATTGTTAAACTCATTTCTGCTGTACAATGACACTTAACAATCTACTAAAGAGGAGAATATAGGGTAATGTTAAAAAGAAAAAACAAACAACCAAAAACCCAAAACCAAACTATTGCCATCAAGATGAATTCAACTCATAGTGGCCATGTATAACAAAGAGGAAATGTCCAGAGGGTCTTTAAGGCTGTAACTGCACCAAAGCAGACAGTTTTATCATTCTCCTGCAGAGGAGGTGGTAGGTTTGAACCATCAGTCTTTTGGTTGGCAGCTGAGTGCTTTAACTAGTGTCCCTAGAGTACCAGTAATACCAAAGAGGGAAGTGTTTTGTTCGGAAAAAAAAGGCAAAATTTAAAGTATTTTAAAATATTGCTGAGAAATAGCAGATATAAATTTAACAATGCAGAAGCTACTGATAATTAAGGAGGCAGAGCAAGGTCTAAGCAGGCAGAAATATTTGCACTCCAGAATGGAACAGAAAGAAGGGTACACCTTCTACTTCCCCATCATTTATTTCCTCTTCTTGCTTCCATGTCTAGCCCAGGCACCTCAGAGAAGCTGTTTAGTCTATGGTCAGATAAATCTCGCTTGATTGACAAAGTACCAAGTCCAGGAATGACCATGTAGTTGCAATGGAGAATAAAGCATTTTGTGGATAATCAAGAAGTGAAGTCTCCCATTCTTCTGGGAGAGTGTTCTCCTGTTAAATGTGAACAATGAAGTATGAGTCACTTGGAAACCACAACGCATACTGCCCCTAGAATGTGGCCAACATATGAATGAAAAGCAGAGAGATAAAGAAATCTAGGGTCCTTGATACAATCATTGAGCTGCTGGAGCCCTGAAGCTCATCCTCTCCAACAAAAGCCACATTTGAGTTGGATGTGCCTGTACTTTCAGCCCAGAGTGCTTGAACAGATGAACATCTCTTCCACAGTGACTAGAGGGACCAGATCAATGAGAAGATAGGAATCAAAGGAGATATTAATTTGTCCCCAACTTTTTTTTTACATAAAGCAAGAAGTGTTCCAGAGCTAAGAGAGAGGGAGACAAGAATAGTGCAGAACTTGGAAAGAGTGATGACTTAAAACTCTTGCAGAAGACAACTAGAAAGAGGGCTGCCTAGGGTTCTATTGGGGCCTGGTAGCAGAAAGCCCAGATGAAGGTTTGAGACCTTTGCAAGGTGTAGCATGGATGAACCTGTGCCTTTTGTCCAAACCCTGTGGATGTGCCATGGTGCACCAACAGGAAGGGACACAAAGTTGAGACCATCTGCACAATGGCAATTGAAGTACAGGGTGGACAAGAAAGAGAGTAAAAAGAAGAAGGGTTGATATGTCAGGAAAAAAGCAAAGGGACCAGTAAGTTAATCTTACAAGTGAAAGTGAGAGATGCTAATGAGACATTCAGAGAAAAGTCATCGTAAGCAGAGTGAAGTGACTCCAGTATAAGACCAGGCAAAGTTTCCAGCTCACACCCCACTCCAGTCCCAGTGTTGTTTCACAATTAACTACAGTGGGTGAGTTCCAATCTAATTCAATTTCATAGATAAGAACTTGCAGCAGACGAGTTCCTCTCATACCACCAGAGCAACAAAGGCAGTAGCAACTTGAAGGAAAATATTTCATTTTTTTTTAAATTTATTATCATTATTAATTTTAATGAAAATTTACAAATATTTTTTATTTCCATTCATTCATTGTTGCAATTTTCTCCCTGCCCACCCCTCCCCTCCAGTTCATTCTTCTCTTTGAAAAGTAAAAGAAAAATTCTTTCATTGTTATACAATCCCTCTGCCCAAGTCCATTTCACTATGCAGCCTTTGTTCTGGACTCATGTCATGACAAAAATACCTAATCATATATACCTTTTAAACAGTTCTTTCATCTGTTTCAATGTTGCATACATAATTTATCCCACCTTCTTTTTTAAATTTTTATTCATGTTAATAAACATTTACAGAGATTTTGGATTTCCATTCATTCATTGATGCACTTTTCTCCCTGCCCACCGCTCCCCACCAGTTCGCTCCTCTCTTTGAAAAGAAAAAGAAAAAAAATTCCTTCATTGGTATACAATTCCCCTCATCCCCCCAATTTATCCCATTTTCTCAGTCTCCCCTGCGAATCCCTATGTCAGTCCTATTTTACAACAGTGACACTATGCAGTATTTGTCCTTTTATGACTGAGATATTTCACTTAGCATAATGTTCTCCAGTATCATCCATTTTGAATAATATTTCATGAGCTCCTTGTTTTTCAATGCAGTGTAGTATTCCATTGTGTGAATATACCACAGCTTCTCTATCCATTCGTTTTTTGATGGGCACTTAGGTTGTTTCCAACTTTTTGCTATTGTGAACAAAGCCGTGATAAACATGGGCGTGCATATATCTGCTTGGGTGGCAGTTATGGTTTCTTTGGGGTATATTCCAAGTAGTGGAACTGCTGGGTCAGGTGGTATTTCAAAGGCAATTTACACGTTCAATGCAATCCCAATGCAAATACCAATTCCATTCATCAATGAAATGGACAAGGCAAACTCCAGTTTCATTTGGAATGGAAAGAAGCCCCAAATAAGCAAAGCACTCCTTAAAAACAGAAGCAAGGAACTCATGCAATATTATTATATGATTGGGTATTATGGTTATGACAAGAGTCCAGAATGAAGGCTGCATAGTGGAGTGTACTGGGGGGGTGGGGTGGCAATTCTATACCAATGAAGGAATTTTACTTTTCAAAGAGAAGAGCAAAATAGGGGGGAGAGGTGGGCAGGGAGAAAAACGCAACAATGAATGAATGGAAATACAAAATCTCTGTAAATGTTCATTAAAATTAATAAAATAAAATTTTTACAAAATAGTAACAATGTTGGAGGCATCTCACTCTGATTTGAAATCCGACTGCACTGCCATGGTGATCAAGACAGCATAGTACTGGTGCAATGACAGACACACAGATCAATGGAATAGAATTGAGAACCCAGAATTCAGCCCATCTACTTATGGTCAACTGATTTTTGAAAAGGAGATGAAATGAGTTAAGTGGGGAAATGACAGCCTTTTTAACAAATGGTGTTGACAAATTGGAAAATTATCTGCAGAAAACTCAAGCAAGATCCACACCTCACTGCAGACACAAAAACCAACTCAAAGTGGATTATGGACCTAGGACTAAAACCAAGGACTATAAACTTCATTAAAGCAAAGCTTGGAAGAACTCTAGAAGTCCTAATCCACAACATAAACAGTCTTCCAAGCATCCTGAAAAATCTACAACCAGCAGAGGATAAAATAGATGAATGGGACCTTCAAGGAATCAAATCCCTATGCACATCCAAAAACTTCTCCAAGAGGGTAAAAAGGGAAGCCACAGACTGGGAAAAAGTATTTGTCAGATAAGGGACTTATATCTAGAATTTATAAAATACTCAAGCACTACAAGATAAAGGTGAATAACCCAATTAAAAAATGGCACAGGATATGAATAGACACTTCACCAAAGAAGACATTCAGATGGCCAACAAACACATGAAGAAATGTTCAAAATTCCTAGCTCTAAAAGAGATGCAAATTAAAACAACTATGAGATATCATCTCACCCCAGTCAGAATAGCAAAGTTTAACAGAACAGCATGCAACAAATGCTGGCGAGGTTGTGGAGAAACTGGAATCCTTATTCATTGTTGGTGGGAGTTTAAAATGGTGCAGCCACTATGGGAGGCAGAATGGTGCTTTCTCAAGAAGGTAAATATTTTCAAGTCTGGATGATGTTTCAAGCTCTGTGGGAGAGAGAATACCTGTACAAAGAAAGCAAAATTATATACAATGAGAACACTGTGAAAACAGATCTTCATAAAGAACTCACCTCCATGTTCATCTTGGGCCTCTTCTTTCAGTGGCTGTAAAGAAAAAAGCAAGAGATTCAGAACCATAGTGGGACCACCTCAAACTCTGGCAATGCCCCTTTATTAACCCACTTTATCCCCTACAAGAAACTTACACATCTGCTTCCATCTCCCCACATACCTTCCAACAAGGCCACCTGTGCTGGTGGCTGACTTCCCTAAATAAGGGCAGTTTCCCTAGATAAGGGCATTTTCAACCATATTTGTCCATCTCCTATACTGGAGCAGTAGCTGGGATTGTAACGCTATTGTTGTGTACCATAGAGTTGGAACCAACCCATAGCTGACCATCTGGTGGGTTTTCAGAGGCAGTTAATCGCACGGAAGGAGATTGCCCATCCTTCTCTCGTGGAGCGGCTAGTGGCCTTGAACTGCAAGTTTTCAGGATTGCATCACAAGTTTCTTGCCACAAGGCCACAAGATTACCTATTAGGTACTTAAAAGAGCTTCTTACTTTCCAAAATTGAGATGCATGCAGAGCACAGCTTTATTTATATCTGGCTGACTTTCTTACGTAAATAATCATGGTAGTAAGAAATACACAAAAGAAGGACTTTCAGTGGGTTGCAAACTAGTCAAGACCCCACCCTCCCAGTCCCTACCTTATAGTTGATCATGCCCAAAGCCAGCCTAACAGGCAAAAATTTTAACCACCTTAGGTCATTCTTGTTCTTGTGTTATGACTACGACTCATAGTGCTTCTCTGAATAATAGCTCTGAACTCTGAACTATCCTGAGCCAACCTCACTGTCTCACACAGACTTGTGCCTATTACTACAGTCACTGTGTCAATCCATCTCATCCAGGTCTTCGTCTCACAGAGATTCTTCTGTGTCAGTCAATTCTTTTTGATACTGTGACTCTGTATACTCCTTCCATCTTCTTTTGATGCTTCCTCAATCATTCAATATTCTGCTGATAACATTTTTAAATATTGCAACTCAAGATTTGAAGTTTTTTCTTCAGTTCCTTCAGCTTGCGAAATGCTGAGGTGGGTTCATTCCTTTTGATTTTCTCACTCTAACCCTTTGCACATTTAATTATATTACTTTGTTTTGTCTTCCCAAGCTGCCCTTTGAAATCTTCTGTTCATCTCTTTAACTTCCTTATTTCTTCCCTTTTCTTTTGCCTCTAATGCAATATTCAGTCTCTTCTGACATCCACCTTGTTCTTTTCTTCCTCCTCTGTATTTAAAATGACTGGAGGCCTGGGCCAATCTTAACAGGGGTTGGTTTAGGGGGAGAAGGGTGAAGGTGCTGGCAAGGGCAAGGCAAGACAGGGGATGAGACCACAACATAAGGCACTAACATGGGGGTGGGGGACCAACACCAAATCTGCTAGTTGTACAGTGAGGAAGGTTCTTACTTGCTCTTTTCAGTAAAATGCTTGTCTGTGTGAGTTGTTATATGCCATCAAGTCAACTGCAACTCATAATGCACAATCGTTCTGAACTCTGCCCTATGCTGATCCAATCTCACTGTCTCCAATACTTCTACCCCCATTACCAAGTTATTGGGTCAATCCATCTGATCCAGAATCTCCCTCTCCTGCACTGTCCCTCCACCAATCCAAACATGATGTCCTTCTCCAAGGACTGGTCCTTCCCGGCAACATGCCCAAAGTATGTGAGAAGGAGCTTCAAAATCCTTGCTTCCAAGGAGTAACTTGGTTTCTTTCACCCTCTCCAGGTTTGTTCTCTTGCCAGCACCACAACTCAAAGGCATCTATTCTAGGTCTGTGAGACACTCAGCTTTAGGCTGAGGATGCACATTAAGACAGATTAGTGTCCCTCTCTCCTCGCAGGACCTAACTATTGTTCTGCTGCAAGATGTCAAGGCCTGTGTGGTATGAGTGGCCCAGAAATATCTTCCTGCCACCATTTCCCAGAGCCTGTTAAAGGCTGTGGCCCGGTCCAAGCACACTCTCACCCTGGCGAATGACAGAATTTGGGAAGCCGAATCTCATACTAAATATTTGTACTAAACCGAGTGCTACTTCAGATTATGAGGGAGACAGATACAAGCTGGAATTCACCCTGAAGCACTAAGGCAATCCTTACATGTTTACAGGGGTAATAGACACTAAGGCAATACTTAAGCTTTTATAGGATTCTTGCATTGTATTTGCTAATCCCCCCTTCGAGTAGAAGGTTTTCAGTAGAAAGAGCTTAGCTTCATTTGCACTGAATTCTCTTTATGATTTGCTCCCTGGCAATTTTCAATAAAGACACAGGGAAGCTAGGACCAGTGCTTCAGTTCTTTGAGAACTGTTCACCTCCTGCTTCACTTCTGTTTTTCTCCTCCATTCTTGGTGTTCTATCTTGTTATTAATACTTAACCTACTTTACCCTTGGTCTGCAACACATGGAGGGGAAAATAATTGATAACAGGAATGCAAAAGTTGGGAACAAGGAAGATGGTGCAGTAGTCAGAAAATATGTTGATATAAATTAGGCTGGAGACAGAATGATCAAATTTTATACAATCAATGATTTGCAAATACTTTGTATTAGAAAAAACAGAAATGGTGACTCTACACATGGACCTCACCTGCAGAAAATCAAAACAAATCCAGCAGAACCAAAATTTGACCTAGAGTCTACACCACAGGTCATGGCAAAACCATAAATGTATAAAAGTGCAACAATGAATTAATGGAAATCCAAAGTCTCCATAAATTTTCATTAAAATTAATAATAATTAAAAATTTTTTAAAAATAAATGTATACTGTTGTTAACTGTGTGTTCTCAGACCCACACTACCTCATAGCTGGCCCTGCAAAGGGTTGCTAGAGTGTGTGAATTCTGTGGGAGGAGGATGTCCATCTTTCTTTCACAGAGCAGATGGTAGTTTCAGGCCACCTGTTTCTGGGTGGGAAGCATGGCTCTTTGCCATTGGTTCATCAGAACTAGCCTGAAGCCACAATAATGCAGGGAATCACTGAACAGAAAAAAATACTTCATTTCACAAATAGTCCTTGATTTACAGAATCAAGGATTCAGAAAACTAGTGTCCTAAAGAGATGGGGGGGGGGAAGAGATGGAAAAACTCCTTCTGCTTAGAGGCAGCAGTGAAAGGTAACACCTTAATTGTTAATTGGCCGTTGTGATCTAGAAGAATATTTTGCCTGATTTTCAGGAGTCAATTTTCAGACTTTTCTTTCTAGTGTATTTGTAAATTCCTCTGAAATCAATCATAGCAGCACACAGACAGGTAGTGACAGTCTATGAAGCAAGCAGAACACTGATACCAAAGACAAACAAGATACCACACACACACACACACGAAAACAACAGACCAAAGCTTCTCATGAACATAGACATAAAGAACCTAAGAAATTCCTAACTGAGAGATCCAACAGCTTATAAAAAGAAATACATCATGACCAAGTAGCATTCATACCAAGCATGCTAGGATACTTCAACAGAAGAAAAGCAATCAGTGTAATCCATCACATCAACAAAACAAAGAATAAAACCCAAGACATTATCTCAATTAGTTCAGAAAAGTCTTTTGACAAAATCCTACACCCTTTTCTGATTAGAACACTCAACAAAATAGGAAGAGAGGGGAATTTGTTGTTGTTGATTGCAATCAAGTTGAGCACAACTCATAGCAACCCTATGAACAAAAGGCTTGAAGCCTTTCTATAACTATCATCATTTACCAAAGTTCATAGAGTTTTCAAAGGCATGTTGTTTAGGAAGTGGATGCTATTCCTGCTTCCAAATTTCTTAACAAAATATAATTAAGAGCATATACACTAAACCAATAGCCAACTTCATCCTCAATTAAGACAGATTAAAGTGTTTCCCCCTTGCAAACAGAAATGAGGCAAGGAGGCTCACTATCACCACTCCTATGCAATATTGCATTGGAAATCATAACAAAAGCAAGAAGGCAGGAAAAGTTAGTAAGACAAATGCAAATTGGCAAAGAAGAGGTAAAACTATCTCTATTGCAGATGACACAATAGCATATATTATAACCCAAAGATGCAGGAAGAAAACTATTGAACTTAGTAGACAAATTCAACAAAGTGGGAGTACAAAAGATCAATACACAAAAAATCAATTGGATTTCTCAATACCAGGAAAGTGAACATAGAAATTAAAATAAGAAAAACAATACCAATGTTGTTGTTAGGAGTGATCCAGTCCAATATGACTCATAGTGACTATGAACAACAGATCTGACTTTTGTGCCAACTTCACCAAATGGTTCAATCACTCTGCCAATCTTATCAAGGGTCTTCCTTTCTTTTCTTTACCTTCCACCTTTCCAAGAATAATGTGCCTCTCCAAGGAATAGCCTCTCCTAGCCATATTCCCAAAGTATGTGAGATGAAGTTTCAAAATTGTTACCTCCAAGGAGCACTCTGGTTGCCACTTTCTCTAAGACATATCTGTTGGCTCTTTGGGTAGTCCACGGGATATTCAGTACTCTTCTCCAACACCTTACCTTAATGGCATCAATTTTTCTGTCATCCTAATTCAATATCCAGCTCTCAGATACACAGAAAATGATTAAAAAGACCTTGGCCTGAATCAGGTATACTATGGTCTTCAAACTGCTCCTCAGTAATTTGGAGAGGTCTCTGACTGCAGACATCCCCAATGCAATAAATTTATTTTTGTGCATGTTTTCTTAATAAATCTTCTATTTTAGAATTTAAAAAAATGTTATTAAGATTAAAAAAATTGAGAACTGATATTGTGTAGCTGTGGTGATTAGCCCAAGTGGTTATAGTTAGCAAGAAAGACACAGATCATTTAAGTTGCAAGGAAACCCCAAAACAATTATAATGAGCCTTGCTAAGTTCTATGTCTGCACAAAAAAAACCAACAACCCCAAAACCCCCAACAAACCACCAGGATGGCAATAAAGTGAATCACTGAAGATCAGCTCTGTAAGCTGGGAACACAACTGAATCTGAAATCATCTGTTCCAGGAGCTACACAGAGCCTCGTGC